AAGGGAGGGTGGGAGGCTCTAGCTGTGGGCTCTGAGCTGCCATCCCTGCCTGTTTGAGCTTGCAGCCTCTTGAAAAGGCTTGTAAGCAGCTGCTTAATCAGCCTGCGGATGGCTCAGCCTCGCCTGTAGCTCTGTCTGGCAGCCTGCTCCTGTACTGCTAGGGTAGGCACTGCTGGGACAAATTCTCTCCCTCCCTGGGAGCCGACTCTGGCATGCAGCACTGGTGACTCACTGCTGTCCTGAACTCTGGAGACTGCAAAGGGAGCTTGTGGGAGGAGAGAGTGCTGGCTTGGTGGTGTTAACCCTTGAGATGGCTGGGCTTTCTCACCAGGTATCCCAAGAAGCTGGTGGAGACCTACTCGGTTTTCCCAAACCAGGATGAGATGAGCGATGTTGTAGTCCAGCCATACAACTCTCTGCTGACGCTGAAGAGGTTGACTCAGAATGCTGACTGTGTGGTAAGAGTCCTGCTGCATGTCAGGCCAGCAGTGCAGCCAGCTCCTGCGTGGCAGCCCTGTCCCCAGCCGCTCAAAAACGCAGCTTTTCCTGGGGCAAGTGCCGTAGCTGTGTGGGGTGAGTGCTGCAGCAGTGTGCGATGTGCCTGCGAAGCCCCAGGTGCAGCAACAAGTGCACCCCCGTCCAGAAGGACTGAGCAGATATGGTGGCTCCAGGGACAAGGGCTCTACGCTAACCCCTGCTGAGCTGTCCGGCTTGGCATTTCTGCCTCCGGGATCCAGCAGATTCTTCCCATGACAGCGAGGACTGGCTGTGCTTCCTCTACGTAGCTGCGCTGCAGTCTTTCACTTGAACTCGATTCCAGCATCGCTTTCAGCACCCACAAGCCCCAGCCAGGCAGCATCTTCAGCCTGCACCAGGGTCTTTGGTCAGGTCCTAACCAAGACAGTACTCGTCCCTCCCAGCTTCTCTCTGCATGTGGCAGGGCAAGAGCAGCTGTACCAGAGCTGCTGGGGCTGAAAGTTGCTGCAAAGTGCTGGCCCAGAGGCAGTGCTCTTTGGGAGAGCACTGGGGAGCACAGCCAAGACAGGAGGGAAGAGCTTCCATTGACAGTGTCGGTTACGCTCCACAGATGAGTCAGCTTGTGGTTTCAAGTGTCTGCCACCTGCCGCAGAGGGCTCTGCCAGGCCGTGGCGCTCGGGGCCTATGCTGGGTGATCCGGTGCCCTGGGACACGTGGCCAGGGCTGCCCTTCCTCAGGCTGCCTCCGAGGCTCTTCACAGAGCCATTTTTCCTCTTGCAGGTGGTTCTGGACAACACAGCCTTGAATCGGATCGCGACAGACCGGCTGCACATTCAGAACCCATCGTTTTCTCAGATCAACCAGCTGGTGAGAAGGGCTCTTCCCTCTGGAGAAGCCAGCACGGGGCTTCCCCGCTGTCTTCGATTTGGTCTGAACCTGCTCCATGGGCTGGGCGTGATGGTGGGCAGCCTGGAGCCGTGAACAAGGGTCCTCTGACCTTCCCAGGGGCAGCCTCCACGGGTGCTCCAGCTTCCCCTGGCAGGGCTGTGTGAAGCAGGTTTTGAACGTGCTCTGCGACCACACGGTGACACAGACGCTGACTCCATCCTCTCCCCCAGGTCTCCACCATCATGTCTGCCAGCACCACCACGCTCAGGTATCCTGGGTACATGAACAATGACCTCATCGGGCTGATTGCCTCGCTGATCCCCACCCCCCGGCTGCACTTCCTCATGACGGGGTACACACCGCTCACCACCGACCAGTCGGTAAGGCAGCCCGCCAGGCATTCCTCCCCTTCCCTGAGGGCAGGAGGAGCTGCCATGCTCACCGTGTAATATCCGTCAGTCCCACGGTCTTGGTGTGAGCTGCAATTGCGTGTTCCAAATGCCAGGCCCGTGTGCCCACACCATGTGACAGCCGTGTGTGATATGAATCAGACGTGAGCAGGCAATCGTGCTTGTGCTGGGCTACCTGCTGCATGCATCAGGATGGCTGCAGCAGCTGTGGGAGGGCCAACAGATCTGACAAAAGCCACCCTTAGAAATGATCGGAGCAAGCCCAGCAAAGCAGCCCTGCCAGTCCTGCCACCCCAGTGGGCCACTGGCCCAGGCCATTCGGGTCAGAACACTTGATCATTGTCATGCCAAGACTGATCGTGGGCTCCAGGTGTCAGCCCCTTCCTGGGGTTTGATCTGTGTTCTGGGAGAGGATTGCCACCCCTCGGCTGTATCGAACACTACCGCTTGCGTTTAGCTTGTCCCCAGCCAATGCTCCCTCAGCCCCCCTGGTGAGAACGGGGCAGTTCTGTTTCGAGAGGCACTCACCTGCGTTGGCCGCGTCTCAGTTCTGCTGGGAGCTAACAGCTGCTGTTCTCCTCTCGTTGTGTGCATTTCCTCAGGATGTTACTCAGAGAAGCAAATCTGAAAAACTGTTGGCTCTGAAAAGGGTATCGAGTGTGTGATCTGTCCTCCCAGGGAGGAGTGGGGGGGGGGCTCAGCCAGCAGCTCAGACGGTGCCTGGAGTGGGGCTGCCACACCACCGAGCTGTCCTTGCTACGGGCACTCCTTCGGGTGCCAGCCCTGGCTGTGGCCCCCTTGGCAGGCAGCAGTGGGCAAAGCCTGTGACAGCCCTCGGGGACTGCAGTGGTCGGTCTGCCCACAGGCTCAGTGCAGGGCGAGGTGGGGAGAGGGTGCAGTGGGGAACGACCCCCTCTCCTATCCTCCAGCCCTGTTCCTTGCCTCAGCAGTGGAACAGAAGTTTGACAGCAACGACATGAAACGCATCCCTGTCACTGTGGCCTCAGCTGAGCTTTGCCCCAGCCCCTGCTGTGCTGTCGGGGGGGGCAGCTCAGCGCCCTTGTGTTGGACCCTCTGCCAACGCTCCCGTTCTCAGCCTGGCTGTGCCTGTTGTGTGACTTTGGGATTTCCCTGCCCTGCATGCGGCTCTGCACGCGGCTCTGCACGTGGCTCCATCCCCGGGGCGGGGGCTTCTCTGTCCAGCTGCTTGGCTCCATCTCCGGGGCGGGGGCTTCTCTGTCCAGCTGCTCTCCACTCCTGTGTGTGTGTGCAGGGCAGTGGGAGGGCAAGGGAGCAGCACGCCCTCTCCCTCTGACCCTCAGCTGGCATTTGCAGGTGGCTAGTGTGAGGAAAACCACAGTCCTGGATGTGATGAGAAGATTGCTGCAGCCTAAAAACGTGATGGTGTCCACAGGGCGAGACAGGCAGACCAACCACTGCTACATCGCCATCCTCAACATCATCCAGGGGGAGGTGGATCCTACACAGGTGAGCTCCTATGGCCGTTTCAGGTGCTGATGGAAATGGCATGGCCTGCCAGGGAAGGGCACGGTCACCATCTTCATGTGCGGGGACCCTGGGGTGAGACTGAGCGGTGCCTGAGAACCGGCTCCAAGTTGTTCCTGTATGGGCCCTGGCCTCGTGGAAAAGCTGCTAGCCCCTTGCCGTGAGGAGCCTCCCTACCTGCTGTTTGCTGAAATCCACCTTCCTGAGGCCGTATGTCATGTGAGGAGCAGCTCCTGGGTCTGCTTTGCCCATCATCCTGCTGCCCCTTGCTGCTCTCATCCTGCCAGGTTCACAAGAGTCTGCAGCGGATCCGGGAGAGGAAGCTGGCCAACTTCATCCCCTGGGGTCCTGCCAGCATCCAGGTGGCTTTGTCCCGCAAGTCACCCTACCTGCCGTCCGCACACCGCGTCAGTGGCCTCATGATGGCAAACCACACCAACATCTCCTCGGTGAGTGCCTTCCCTCTACCGCAGGCAGCGCTGGGGCCCCACAGCTGCAGCTCTGTTGTCCTTTCAGTCGCAAACGCGTCTTCTTTGGGGCTTTCACAAAGCCACGGCAGGGCCTGTAGATGAGGGGAGGGCGGGCAGCTCCCAGCTGGGGCACAGCAGGCCTCAGGTCTGGTCTGGGGTCCCGTCAGCCCTGCTGCACCCCTGGTGCCGTTCTCCCAGGAGCAGGCTGCAGCAGGACTCCCTCTCCTTGGCCAAAGGCAGCCTCGGAAGCACGAGCTGATCCCGAGTGCTGGCTGGGTGCAGGGTAGCAGCTACTGACCTGCTGGCCTGGGGCTGCCTGCCTGCCTCCTCCTAGGCAGCGGCCTGAGGAGGTTGGGCCCCCCCTGCCCCGCGGGATCCCCGCAAGTCACCCTACCTGCCGTCCGCACACCGCGTCAGTGGCCTCATGATGGCAAACCACACCAACATCTCCTCGGTGAGTGCCTTCCCTCTACTCTACACCGCAGGCAGCGCTGGGGCCCCACAGCTGCAGCTCTGTTGTCCTTTCAGTCGCAAACGCGTCTTCTTTGGGGCTTTCACAAAGCCACGGCAGGGCCTGTAGATGAGGGGAGGGCGGGCAGCTCCCAGCTGGGGCACAGCAGGCCTCAGGTCTGGTCTGGGGTCCCGTCAGCCCTGCTGCACCCCTGGTGCCGTTCTCCCAGGAGCAGGCTGCAGCAGGACTCCCTCTCCTTGGCCAAAGGCAGCCTCGGAAGCACGAGCTGATCCCGAGTGCTGGCTGGGTGCAGGGTAGCAGCTACTGACCTGCTGGCCTGGGGCTGCCTGCCTGCCTCCTCCTAGGCAGCGGCCTGAGGAGGTTGGGCCCCCCCTGCCCCGCGGGATCCCCAGGGAGCTATGGCCCCTTTGACCGCTGCGCTGCTCTCCAGCTGTTTGAGCGGACGTGCCGGCAGTATGACAAGCTGCGCAAGCGGGAGGCCTTCCTGGAGCAGTTCCGCAAGGAGGACATCTTCAAGGACAACTTTGACGAGCTGGACAACTCCCGGGAGATTGTGCAGCAGCTGATCGACGAGTACCACGCGGCCACCCGCCCCGACTACATCTCCTGGGGCACGCAGGAGCAGTGACGTCCTCCCAGGGGACGGGAGGGTCCCACGGCCACCTCCACGCACGCCGGCAGGGCTTGTCTCTGCCGTGCCCACGTTTAGCACCCCTCAGCGCTGCCCAGCCGCGGTGGAGTCGTCAACACTGGCTGCACACACACACGCTGCGCTCCTCAGCGGAAGCAGCTCTGCAGGGAGCAGCACTGCCTCTGAAGACCCTTGGCGGGGGACAGCCTCCACTCCACCACGTGCCCCGGCCCAGGATGGGACTGGGGCAGCTGCGCGCTGCGCTGGGAGGGAACCTCCGCCCATGAGAGGAACGCTCGCTCGGAGGAGGATGAGAGCGAACCTGGGGGCTTGGAACGGGCCTGGCCCGAAGAGCTGGGAGCACGTGACCCCTGGGGCCAAAGGCTCTGTGTGGCTGAGCTAGTCCTTGCCCTGGGCAGGAGCCTTGTTCCTCCTTCGCCAGATCAGGCCTGGGGCACAGGCTGTATCTATATTTTTGTAGGTTATTTTGCTTTAATAAAGGCTGTTCCTGCACTGACGCCACCTGCACAGCTCCTGGAGCGAGCAGCCAGGCAGAGAAGCAGCTGCAGACACTGCCAGGGCCAGCACTCACCTTGCCCAGCTGGCCGGCCCCGCTGCGCAGCTGCAGCCTGACAGTGTCCCGGCTCAGCGAGAGCACTGAACCAGGGCCACTGCTCACCTGCACATCCCGGTGGTGCACGGGGCCGGCCCTGCCCCGGCCGGGAGCCAGCCGGCAGCGTGCTGTCTGGGCCCAGGCGGCGCTGGGCAACTGCTGCGGCAGAGCCAGAAATACTGGAAGGACCTGCCGGCGCGCTGACCAGGGACAGGAGCCGGCACCACCCTGCCTGCCCTGCTCGCAGAGCATGTGGTGCCCACGTTAATGTTTCAGAGGGGCAAGGCCCCGTGCAGGACGGAGGCCCCCGAGGGGCTGGGGGTGCTCTCACCACTCTGGATCCGAGGCAGGGGATGGCACCACCGGGAAGGACGAGGGCTTGGGGCCGGCCGGTGTCGATGGGGGACGGACAGACGGACACGGCAGCTCCGGTCCTGCCCCATGTGAGTCAGGCTGCAATGGACGGGGGCGTGGGGCAGCGCTGGCCCCGGCCCAAGCCCAGGCAGCCCAAGGTGAGAATTAGCCTTTTCCTCTGACCCTGTGGCACAGAGCAGCAGGCTAAAAATACACACCCGCCATAGCAGCGCCGGGCTCCCACGCCCTCTGGCACCGGCCCCACAGTCGCCCGCTGCTGGGGCAGTTCCCCCCGCCCAGGGCAGCCAGTGCCAGGGGGTGCCGGGGAGCTGGAAGCGGAGCCGGAGCGCTGCCTGTGCTGTTGATGAAATGCCAAAGGGCGCAGCGAGCAGCCCGGCTCCCGGCGCTGGCCGGAGGGACGGCGGTCCCCGCCCCCAAGGACACACTGTGCTGCTCCTCCCCGCCGCTGTTGCCTGTCCCAGGCCCTGCTGCACTCGCTGCCCCAGGGATCAGACCGTCCCTGCCTCCCACTGCGGGCCCAAGCTCCAGGACAGGAGGCCCAGCCTTTCCTTTGTGCATTTATTTAGAAAAACAAATAAACAAACAACACCCCCCCCCCCCCCACCCTGGGTTCAGTGAACAGACAGACAGACAATGGCACAGCACCGCTGCCCAGCACCCCCTGCCCCAGGCAAAGCCCCGGGGGAGGCAAGAGCCAGGGCGCGGGCAGAGCTGCCAGGCAGCACAAGTGCTGGAGGCAAAGGCACCGGGGTACAGGGGACCAGAGGACGGGAATAGGCCTGGGGGCAGCATGGGGGACCACAGCGTGGCGGCCCTGCTGCCCTCCAGGGAAAGTGCTGGGAGACATGGGGGGGCGCGGGCATCTCGAAATAAATTAAGGAAATAACCAGAAAGGCAACGGCGGCACAGGGAGCACAAGCCCCTGTCCCCCTGCTCCGGGGAGCAGC